GTGTGTGTGTGTGTGTGTGTGTGTGTGTGTGTGTGTGTGTGTGTGTGTGTGTGTGGCACGTAACAGATGATCTGGACATCACACCATGCGGCATTAACCACCTTGCTTCTTCTTGTAGAAACCTGTTTAAATCGATTTTTTAAAAGACCAGAAGAGATTATAAATCTTTGATGAAACTTATATTATTAGTTCTAGTGAAAAGAAGAAAGAAAGAAATACAGTGAACTCTAAATGTATCCCAACTCTTCATCCCCTTCTGCATTTTTCCAGCAGTAAATTGATCCTGGTTATTATAATTTAATCATTTAAAGGCAGACATCTTAAACATCAACAGAATCAGAATTCTTTATTGATTCACAAGGGAAAAAATACAGTTTTATTACAGCTGCAACTGTTCAAATAAAAATAATTAGAGAATAAGAGAAGCATACTAGAATAAAATAAAATATATTAACACTCTAGAGGAAAATTAAAATACAAAATAAAAATCTAAAACATGGATAATATTAAAAAAATGCATAAATACATTAAAATATACTTAAAATTTAAGAAACTTCACAAAATACCTTGTCACAAACATGTCACCATTGCTTCATCTTGAGCCAAACTACAGGAGCCAAGTCAGATGTGTCACTTATTTTCATGACTATCTCTTYCTGACGTTATCTAGAACATTATCCTGTAATAAAGACGCTTGTTTCGGGGGACATAATGACTTAATCTTTTAGGCATTATCTTGAGATAACAAAAAGCTTAATCTTTTTAATTAATTCAAACCCAGAAATGTTTGCTTTCTTGTGATAACTAAGGTTTGTAAATCAAACTAGGACAAATGGGGGTTCTGTTTAGAGATTAGAGCTTCACGCTGATTTGAGCTGAGAATGTCAGATGAAAGAAAATCCACCTGATAGTTGCTCCTTGAATTGTCGGACTGTGATAAACATGATGAAGTGTAACTATAAAGAACGGAATGATTTTATATCAATAACATCAAACCCTTTCCTATAAACAGCAGGTTATCATGAGAACAGAAAAGGCTGTTTTATCATGGTTAACATGAGAAAAAAGTCAGATTATTGCCGACATGACCCTTCTAGGATTCCATAGTTCTTCTGTAAGAAACAAAAGTGGAGATCAATTAAATTAGACTAGGTTTTAGGATCTGGAGGAATTTATAATTGGATTAAAACTGAAGCTTATTTATTTATTTATTTATTTATTTATTTATTTATTTATTTATTTATTTATTTTTGTTCAGCCCTGATGACTTTTTTGAGAACTGCCATCAAACTCTTGAGATAAAACTGAAAAAAGATGCTCAGGACTGAAAACCGAGGCTGAGAGGGGCAGAGACAACAGACCTTTCCTAATCTCTGACACATTGCCTGAGGGGAAATAAGAACTGTTGTGTTATCTGATAACATTACTTAATTTGCGAAATGTTGAAAACTGTTTTAGATTTTTTTTTTTTTGTTCATTTAACTGGACAAACAAATGAAACACTGTTAACGTAAGTTGCTAAATTACTGGTGGCCATAAATAGTTACTATTAGGGGTTGAAAAATAATAATAATGTTTACATCCATCCATCCATCCATTTTCTTCTGCCTATCCGGGGTCGGGTCGCGGGGGCAGCAGCTTCAGAAGGGAGGCCCAGACCTCCCTCTCCCCAGCCACTTCTTCCAGCTCCTCCAGGGGAACTCCAAGGCGTTCCCAGGCCAGCCGAGAGACATAGTCCCTCCAGCGTGTCCTGGGTCTTCCTCGGGGCCTCCTCCCGGTGGGACGTGCCCGGAATACCTCACCAGGGAGGCGTCCAGRAGGCATCCTTACCAGATGCCCGAGCCACCTCAACTGGCTCCTCTCGACGTGGAGGAGCAGCGGCTCTACTCTGAGTCCCTCCCGGATGACGGATAATGTTTACATGCTGTGTTTAAAGTGTAAGAACACATCAAAACATGATTGACTTTATTTCTTCAAATGAACACAGTTTGTCAGGTTGTCAGACTAATGGTTCATGTGTGGTACAAAGTGCCACATTTCTCCTTATTTTTAGCCTGATGCTAATAGTGGAAATGTCCATTTGAAAGTAAGTAATGCTCTTCAAAACTAAATGGTTTGATTTGAATTATATGTGTATCATTTATGATAAAAACAACTGAATCTGCATCATTTACCATCAAAAGTCAAATATGTTAAAAGTGAAATTAGCAGAGTTGTATTTTGTTGCCAAAAAACAACAATTACACTCAAATATTAACGAGTTTGGACTTTCTTTGGATCTTGATCTAAGGATTTGGACACTTGGAGATGTTGCATACCTGAAATTACTTCCTTGCAAAAAATATTTTGTTTTGCTGTCATCATCTGGACAATCTAACTAGATTTGATTTGAGGGACTGATCCATAATCATCTTTACTCTCTTGTTGAAATTATTTTAATTTAGTTATTATTACTACTTTTCTCTTATTTCTGGTGTTCTAAAATATGTCATGTGTAATGCTAAATTTTATTTTTACTATGTGTGGGTGGGCTTTTCAATCAAAAATAGAATGTGCTATACATGCTAAATGTAAAAATTTAATTGGTTGTACATTCTCTATTAATATATCTATGCAAAAAAATATTAATTAATTCCTTTTTGTTGATTGTTGTTTTCACATGCAAAAGAGAACCATCAGTCAAACAATAGATTGTTGATTCACTCTATTGTTCATAGAGGGCATGTGCTCCATCACCTGACAATCACTGGGTCCCTGATTCACACCTTTTGTTCACAGGGGGCTGAGTCATACATGCAATAACAGCATTATAGGAGGAGGACAACTGGACACGACTTCATTTACTCCTCTCTCAAACCAATATTCCTCTCTGTCAAGGATGAGAACAGCTTCATCCCTGAAAGAGTGACCGCTGGCCTGTAGATGAGTGTAAACTGCAGCATACTGAGCGTACTGTTCTGTAGATGAGTGTAAACTGCATAGTACTGGCGTGTAGATGAGTGTAAACTGCAGAGTACTGGCTTGTAGATGAGTGTAAACAGCAGCATACTGTTCTGTAGATGAGTGTAAACTGCAGCATACTGTTCTGTAGATGAGTGTAAACTGCATAGTACTGGCGTGTAGATGAGTGCAAACTGCAGAGTACTGGCCTGTAGATGAGTGTAAACAGCAGCATACTGTTCTGTAGATGAGTGTGAACTGCAGCATACTGTTCTGTAGATGAGTGTAAACTTCAGCGTACTGTTCTGTAGAAGAGTGTAAACAGCAGCGTACTGTTCTGTAGATGAGTGTAAACTGCAGCATACTGTTCTGTAGATGAGTGTAAACTTCAGCGTACTGTTCTGTAGATGAGTGTAAACAGCAGCGTACTGTTCTGTAAACAGCAGCGTACTGTTCTGTAGATGAGTGTAAACTGCAGCATACTGTTCTGTAGATGAGTGTAAACTGCAGCATACTGTTCTGTAGATGAGTGTAAACTGCAGCATACTGTTCTGTAGATGAGTGTAAGCTGTAGCATACTGTTCTGTAGATGAGTGTA